AATAGGAAAAGGGCATAAACATCTTTTCCATCGAGAAACCATTGTGTTCTTAGCTGTTCTTTCAAAGACAAACTTTCACTAGTTCTGATATAACTGATGCTATAGCGTCATCTCTCTATGTGCCGCCATTGTTTTTTAACGAACACTTCTTGCCGTTGCCATGCTCTTAGCTACCAGTAGTTCCTTCCTCATCAGATGCTAGTTTTTCCAAACCATTGCACTTCAGCCAAAGGCAAATATGAAATTAATTTCATTTGTTAGAAATGTTTTCATTGTCATCACAATATGAGCGTGCCTGAACTGCAATAAATTTGAAAGAAATCGTTTTAATTACACGCGCCATGCGTTCACACACAGTCTCGATACCCCAGTAAGACTAAGGTGCAGAGCCTGAGTCAAATTAGCCTTCAAAAATGTGCAGAATGTTCTCTACCATGTCCTTTATGGTTGAGCTGCACACACAGTAGACAGCACAGTTGCGGAAGTGGAGACCAATGAGAAGTGAAGGTTTTGCTCAAGGTGACAACATCTCAAGTAAACAGCTAGTGTAATACTTAGTTTAATCAATAACTTCATGAGTATAGACTGCTAATTTTTTTTTCAGTTGAGCCCAACCCTTAAAGGATCAACGGTACAGATAATGGACGGATCTTCACATTTGTCTTTGTGAATATGATGAATTAAACCTCCAAAGGATAACGTGTGTTAAGATTGGGTTCAAATCAAAAGGAAAGAAAGATGAAAGATCTGGCAAAAACAATGGCTTGAAAAAGCAACTGATAAAGTCAAGTCAAGATAAAGTCAAGAATAACTATGACAGCATAGAGACCTCCAACACTTTTCACACAAGCATGAGCTAAGCAGCTAGATTTCGATGATACACAGACAACAGGAAATCTCTAGACGTTGAGATTAAATGAGGCGGTTTTTCTTAAAAGTCCCTGAAGACCAATCTACTCCTCTGTCTCACACACAAAAACACATATATCCAGCTCCCCTCTGACTGATTACCACTCTGTATGTAGAGCTGGCTAATGACTTTCAACTGACTAATGGCTGTTAACACACATGCACACCTGAGACACTGTGTTTTTGTGTGTGTTATGAAGAACCTCTGCCCATTAGTTGTGCTGAGCTCTACAGTCGGTCAGCAGAGGATATGTTGGTGAAGCAGAAAAGACGTGAGGAAAACTCTCCATCCAGCAAAACATGGAACTTTTGATCCAAACAAAGTCACATGGCTGTTTTTTTTTAAGGTGGGAGAAAGGAAACAGCTGCTAGCCAATAGGAGCGCAGCTGAAATACTTAGCACCAATGACAAGAGAGCATGAATCTATAATAGACCACAGAGCGAAGAGCTTACCCCTGTACACTGCAACCCCTGCACAACACAGACGGAGATCCAGCATGTGACTCACACATACACAGTGCTCTCTAGGGACAGAAACAATTTGGAAAATACACCAAGACCCTGAGAGGAGAGAAAATAACAGTGTGTTCCAAACACACACACATGTCAGACTCTAAAAAACAGAGCCCCCACGAGACAGATGCTTCTCTGTGTTCTTGTCCATGACCACGAGGAGGGCATGAAAAATCAACATTAGCACGGCAACAAAGAACACAGATTTTTATCAATCTGTTCACAGTTAGAGGGACCTTCACTTGTTTTTGTCCATATGCCAGGAGGAGAATGATGAAACTGGGACTAAGCCTACATCCACACTAATTCATTTTAGTATTATAGTTGTAAAAAAAGGCATCTTGACAGGAAAACAATTACCGTCCAGCAAGCATTTTAGCTCTGTATCAGAAATGATTGCTTTCCATACTAACACGCCTGAAATCACATATTTACGTACACTGAGCATGCACGCAACGGTGTAAATAGAATGCAGATTGTCTATTCTTGCTCAGTTACAGAAAAAGCAACAAATGAGGAACAGCAATTGCGAAATTTAAGAACAGGAATTTAGGGCCGGGTGTGAACTTTAGTAAAAGTGATGCATTTTAAAAGTAACATGTGTTAATGTGGATTGATCACCTATCAAGTGCTTTTTGAGCAATTCTTGAATAATCTTGCTTTATATTTTGTTTAAGGCTCAGCCAGTGTTACCCTGAAACACTATCTACTAATATCTCCATCATACAGAGAGCAAAGGGGTTTGATAAAGGGGAAGAAGATATGTTAAATAATTCACTTCCTTGCCAAGATTTAGATGAAAATATTCATTCCGCTCCACAACGAAGCAACAGCCAGGCCGGAGTTAACTTAGCTTAGCATAAAAAATGTAAATATGAGGAAACGCCCGGTCTGTCCAAGCAGATCCTTAAATTCACTTATCAACATGTTTTGTTTTTAGTAACCCATCTGTTATTATTAGGTGGTAGGTTTGGTATGGATTAAACCTATGTAGGTGTAGGCTGCTGGATCCAGTTATGCATTTACTGTGCAAATATGACACTGGTATCTTTTCTAATGTGATTGTGGATGACAGGTACAATAAGAGGAAGTGAACCTGGATGTCACATCCTTCTTCCACAGACTGGGCGTTGATGCATGAAAGCAATAAAACAACAATTCTGCTCAACGGAAGGATGTGCAGCTGACTCTAATGTACAAAATCGAGGGCATTGTTCACTTGTATTTGTTCACTAATAATTGGTCTTTCCCTTGTTTTGCTGTTCGTAGTCACACAAATGTGTGCGTGTAATAACATTGTCCAGGTTCTCTTCTTGTCATATATCTTAGTGTGCATTAAATGTTAAATTAAGGATCTCCTTTAAAAACAGAATAACATTAATTAAGACTTTAATGAGTTCTTTGGCTGCCTTAACTTCTCTGCAAGGTCCTTTCTCCACTGTCCTGAAAATATAATTTTCATTAGCTGCATTGCAACCTTCAAATGAAACTGACTCAACTAACAGTTTAATCTGTCTATGATTCTTCAAAGTCTTGATTGAACTAAATAAAGTCTAAGAGACTTTTAATGATGCTTTCAGTCTCCTCATCGACCTTTTTCACTGTCCTGCTCTGCAACACATTTGCTAATGTAACACGTGTTGGCAGGTAAACGGCCATTGTTTCCAAATTCTTTTGAGCAACTGTGGTGTGTAATCAGGAAGACACACAAACGATCTCATGGGGACAAGTTAAAAATAACTTCCGAACAGGAAACTTGGAATTTTTGGGGAGACAAATAACGTAGATCAAAAAAACAGAACACGAGACGTAAAAGCATCCTGTGCAATCTGAAGACTAACTTGACACCAGACTCAAAGCTAAACCAGACACTCACCAACCCATTTAAAGACACACACAAACACATATACCTCAAAATGCATATACCTGTGGGGTGTTAAGAAAGCCTGGCCTTGCCGATTGGGGCAGGGGGCCCCTCGCATCCTCTCAGGTATCCGTGCTGTGTTACAGCAGATAAAAGGCCACACACATACACACGCGAGCAGACACAATACACAATACACAAACACGTACGCTATTGTGTTTCGGATCAGCGACTCTGTGCTGATTGCCTTTCACACTGGACGACAGAGCTGCAGCTTTGTTGCACACAAGTGATGCCTCTGAGGGGGGGGTATCTGGCACATTTTGTTCTGTGATTTCGACGTGGGCCATCATGTGATGCTAATCACACAGATTTTGGTAATGTGTTCGCTCTCCTTCCAGGAAGACGTCTGCATATTATTGACACAACAGGTCTATTCTTAGGGGCTGTGAATTTTTGCACACGTTCAATATCGATGTCACTTCAGACTCTAGAGTGGAACAAAAACTGTCAGACGAGACATCTCTATCATAATGCACTGTTAATTACTATAACACCGAGTGACTCATCATCAAGTCTGAAAAAGCCTTGAAGGTAGCAATGGTGTCGATAATAAGTGGAGGTGATGGAGGATGAAACGTTTGGGAAACAGGCTCCTAATCAATTTGTGCAAAAGCACGTTTCAAGAGCATGCTCGGAAAACTTGAAAAACATTACATTATTATTGTATTATTATTACATAATGCATGTTTCTCCCCTAAGCAACTTACTAAACACACAACTGCTCTCGTTATGATGATGGTAGAAAACTATCCTCATTGTTTTACTTTTATTAACATATTCTGAGTCTATCATTTACTCTTTTACACACACATTTTGTGCTATTTTTCACTTTTTACTTTTAGTTTATAAAGTTTTCGAAGTAGCAATGAATACATAGTTTCTTCTTTGCAAGTATGATAATGTGTTGCTTTATGACTCTTCCATCCTCCACTACATTCAACATACTGGTGTGCAATTATGTTTAAGTGTGTGCTAAACAACACCATGCTTTTTAAACGTCGTGGCAAGCTCCCATATGCTAACCCAAAACCTTCTTATGCTAACTTTGAATCTAAATATTCTCTTAACTTCAAAATGCTGCTTTTAAAAGTGAGATTAAATCATCTTTTAGTGTTTAATTAACTCTAGTGTCAAATCTTCTTTTTGGATCAGTGGAAACTTTAGATCTTCAAAGGGAAAATGGTGGTAAAGCTTTTTGTGTACAAGCAACAAACTGTGGTCGAGTGATAACAAATTGATTACAATTACTAGTGTGTGCGTGTGTGTGTGTGTGTGTGTGTGTGTGTGTGTGTGTGTGTGTGTGTGTGTGTGCACATATGTGCTCCTATTTTGCTTTAAGCTACACTAGAGGTGTTTGTGCACACTGGACCTCTAGTAAGAGGCTGACACTGTTAAAATAGGTGAACAATTTTAAATTTGTAAAAGAAGTAAGTCATTTTGATTTTAAAAACCTAAGTTAAAAAACTTCACAGGTCAACATGAGTTACAGAATATTATACTTCCCTGCTATCAGCACCTGTTGAATTATTTATGTGACGTGTGTGTTGTGGTGGGATAGTTTTACTGTGTGACCACTCGAACCATGTCGCACCACATGGCTCTGAACCAACCAGAGGAAAGCATGTGTTTGTATGTGTTCTGGATACTCACCCCATTGTGTGAGGGGCACTCAGCGGTGATGAGGTGACTGGTTGAAGAACCTGAGGTGGGCGTGTCATCTTTCTCCCTGGGACTCATGGGATCTGTAGGCGTGCTATCTGTGGTGTGTTCTATGAGGTTAGAAGTTCTGTGTCGCAGCACGAAGGCCGGGCCTTCGGCCCCACTTGTCTCTCCTCCGTCCAGCTTGAGACGCTGGACAAGCCCCCACTAAGAACTGGAGCAAACTCGGCCGGGCCCCGGACAGAAGACTTAGTGGATGTTGTTGCCTATCTCCAGAGGTGACCGAACCTGGTTGGACTGAAGAGGAAGAGCCATACGGTGAGAAGAGAATAAGGCAGCAGCTGTAAGCAGAGCAAGATGACAGTATAATCCGGGTGACCAACCTAGAGTCCAGGCTGAAGTCCTTCTGACGACACTTTAACTCAGGAGTTTGTCGGACAAACCTGGAGAGAGACAGAAATAGAGAAAGAAAGGCAGAAAAAAAAGGGAAAGGGAAAAGGTTAATATAATTTTATCAATTTAATTTGATATTTGCTTGTCTCAAACAGATGATCACTTGACAGTTGCTGCTGGGTTAGTCAAAGATGCTTTTGTTTTTAAAAATTGCAAGGTATCATCATGAAGGCAACACGGGTAGAAGTGTGCATGTGGTACCGCAACCTAAACCTAAAGCAAACATGCCCAGTAAAAACAGATACTGCAAAGGTCCTTGGTCTGGAGGATTTACTTTTCCATCCTTGTGAAGGCCTCTAGCCTTCAAGGGGATAAATGTGCTCATGTGTACCTCACGTTCCTGACCCATTTATATCTGCATGTTTTTACAGCAGCGTGTTTCCAAACACTCTCTCACAACCAAAGATTTAATCCCCTGTAAATGATATGAACAGCACCTTCATATCAGCATACTGCTAAATCTCTTCATGTCTTCAGTGTGAACATGCCCCCAAGCATCGGCCCACTTCATTCAAACCATCCCCCATGTGCTCTCACACACATACATTAGGGGATAATAGACCAAATTCTCAAGGGAAAAACTGAAACAGAGGCATGTGCACACACACCTGTGCATGCACACATACACACAGAGACTGCTTAAGACATAACTGGTAATAGGGGGATGTAATCAAGAGGTAAAACAAATTCTATATAATAAGCTATAAGTAAACTACCAACATTATCTTTGCACTAAAAAAAACTAATATTAAATTCTAAAGTAAATTGGAACTGTGCAATCACAATAAATTGTGGTCTACAGAGAACTGGACGTGATATCACTGCGGCTCAGCATCTGTCTTGTGTCTGAGCTTGTCATCATTTTAAAATAGCTTTACTCTTCCATAGACTGAAGTTTAACACTAAAATAGTACCATTTTTTTAGGAGTGACAAATGGCTAAGTGAGACTGGAAGGCAACAACGGAGAGGATATAAATGTGTTTTCATATTATTGAATTACATAAAGACCCATAGTTTCCAACAATAATTACAGGTGCTGCCATCTTGTAATACGTAACTTGGTGGCAGAGTCTGTGCAGTCGTGATCGTGGTGTGGAGCCACAGCATCAAGGTTTTGCCGAAACATGCACTTGACCAATTGCGAGTCGGTCTCAGTTAACACTGATAACCAAAACTACAACAATGGCATCAGTGTTTTCTAGAGACGAGGTGTACATGGTGACTCTTACAGAAAAAGAACCACAGCTGCTGTTTGTAGTGAAGGATCAGGGGCACATTTAAAAAAAAAGGAAGTGCAAGAGAAAGAAAAGACTATAAAGAGGGGGAGAAAATCATTAAAGTGTTTCATAAGCCGACCAACAGACAGTGGCACTATTCTGCTGTGAGAATGATAAAGAAGACCGTTTGAGCTGCACACAGATGACTGGCCTGTGGGCAAGTTCCCTAATCGAAATGAAACACTTCTACATTGAGAGACCGTCCAATCAATCTCTCCCCTTTTCCTTCCTCCCCAATCGACAATTTCTGAAAATTACATTGATGCTCTTCTTGAGTAACTGCACCCTCATTTTCTGTAATGATGAAAAGTTGAGATTTCATGCCAGTTCATTATTAGCTAGAGAATAAGAGGAATAAACTACTTTTGCTGGGGTTTTTTCTTTTAAGCTTCAGTAATCTCCCAAGATAACAGTCCAAGAGGCCTTATTGCTACTGAAGAACAAACAGCTCTTCTCACAATTGAAATTGCTGAGAAGTTTTGTTCTGTGTGGGTCTGATAAGAGTCATTGAAGGAAGGAGAAACACAGCACAGAGACTGCACGTGACTATTTCTGTACACACACACGAAATCATTTTCTTTGCATAATCCTTCTAACAGGCAGTCAAACAAACGCCAACAACAACAACACAACTTCCTTGTTAGATCTAAAAATACATACAAACTAAAATATTTACTCAGAGTGAATAGAGGTATTTACAAGAGAAATATGAATAAACAGAGATAAATATAACCATGCTCTTAAGTGAAACCAATCGTGATTATAAAACTTGAAGGTTGACTTGAAGGAAATGTTTCAATAATCTGCTCAGTGATGGTTCATCTGGTCAACCCGACACTTGGGATCAGTTTTACTTTGTCTCGTTTTTGCAGTTCCACAGCAGCAACAAGTCTCCTCCACAGACTTGCCTTTCAGCTTCTTAACTATCCTAAAACTTGTCCGTGTAATTGTCTCTGTTAGAACGTGGTCTTGTGAAGCACACCATCTCTGGCAAAGAGCTTTGACAGTATCCAAGTGCATTTGATCTTGCAATATGTCTAGTTTAACGACATGGTTTGAGCTGTGATAAGCCAAGATTGACCTTTTTTATCACTGCGAGCGAGTTCCTTCTAGACGCACTGGCTTTTCTTTTTTCAAGAATGACAGCTTTGTGTTTTGTTCACCCTGACTGTGAAACAACAGGCATTCAGCTTCATTCATTTTATCGTTGAAAAAAAAGCAGTCATGAGAATTATTTTGTGTTTTTTAAAAATAAGAATTGTGGCACAGGACTTCTGGACCACTCGACAAAAGATGATATGTTTGGAAACCAGAAAAAATGATTGTCGGTGCTCTTCTACTGTTATGTGGCACATAATTCACACAACCCTTCGTACTGCTTGGATGATCACAGTGGCAGAACAGACAGAACTGATCAGAATGACCTTGTATTGAGTTTTTAAAGAAATCCTCACAATGACAGAACATAAGATACTGAGCAAAAAAAGAGGAGAACAAATGATTTTCACACACAAGAGGTTTCTCAGGGTCAGAGCCAAATGCCAATGTTAAGTTTCAGTTCTTAGCAAAACTGCATACATATTATGTCTGTCGACAACAGGATACAAGATGTTTCTGAAACTGCATGATCACAATATCCTTGAAGAATGTTGGAGACACCCTTATTTCTTTGTCTATTAAAGTCATGGTGTGAGGTTCAATTATTTTCCCACATGCAACCCCCATGAAACAAACCAATCATACAGATAAATTCACCATCTGCTCTGTTTTCCTCGAGTTACAGTAACTTAAGGAAATTCCATCAAACTGCCCCTTGACACCTACACCACAGGGGGAGACGGAGGGACTGACACGGAGGATAAAAACAGCTGGGTAAGAAAAGGAAGGGATTAACCAATAAGCTTTGACTATAAATCTCTACCCATGTGCCTTAGAGCAACACTTACCTTTCTTAGATAATGAAAGTGCTTTTAAACTATTCCCTTGACAGATAAACACAGAGCAAACGGTCATGACTCAAAGACACATCCAAAGAGGGATGTATTGGATCATGATTGCATGCTCTAACAAACATGTATGCACTTTAAAAGGCAATCATCTTTCAGTACACTCACTCAATTCCCCTATTAATTATTAATATTATATTCTCTTGACATTATGACCCAGCCATGAGGCTCCTGCAGCAATGTCATTAATAAACATTACTGTCCTTTAACAATGGACACTATTGAGCTTTTAATATTGATGCTATTGATTTGACCCAGAGGTCAATATCTACAATTTTGGGAGTGTGTTTCGACAGCAGCCGACAGTACAATGCTTGTCTGGTAGAATGTGATAGCATAGATTTAAAATGCCTTAGCAATTTTTGTTATTGACACAAGAAACATTTTTAATCTTTAAACAATAGTATTACTGATGTGACCTTTGACCCCCAATATAAAAGTCTTCCGGCTCTTCGATGTAGAGAAGTTTGTGGAAGTTAAGAATAACAGAAAGGTCAAAGGAGCCTGCTTTGTTTAACACATTTGTGTTAATGCTACGAGACTGGTACAAAATATTCAGCTCTGACTTCGTCCTGACAATGTTTATTTTTAGTTTATTGTCATGGAGCTCATCTGATCTGCTCTGCATGTCACTGCAGGTTGTCTGTCTGATGTTTTGAACCCGAACATTAAATAGCTTCGGAGGAGCTAGGTGCACTTACTTCAAACTGTGTAAGTTTAGCAACACACTGCTGTGCACACAACAGTCTGCCCTGAATTCTATTGATGTGAACATCTACTCAAAAAGTGATCTATCTGACCGCTACATCACACTGCCGTCCAGGTCCCTCATACCGGATCTTGTACATTTTAAACATATGATATTTAACACGTTAATAAGTGAGTTTTATGCCAAGTTTTTGCAGTTGTTGTTTCACCATGTTCTTTAGGCACCTTTAGGCTCTGATTGACTGTATTAGTGAGCATCTCGAATCAAGCATTTAAAGAGTTCACACATAATGATTAATTACCACATTTTTCTAACCCTAAACTATACTTTGGGATTAATGGTAAATACACATTAAAGTGCTAATAATAGAGTGCTAACCAGCTACAGACAGAAGAGCTACAATTAAACACACACACACACAGTCACAGTTTGGACTCAGTCATTGTCACAGAAGAAGTGATTCTGAAAATCAACCCTGGCGATTGACAAAACAACAGAAACTCACATGAAAAGAATAAAATAAGAGTGAGTAAAGAAGGAAAATGAGAGCCGCGGAAAACCAAAGAGAAATGTCAATGGTAATTGATTTGTTCAGTAGGTTTTTTTTACTCAAAAGAGCAAGCGTGCGTGGTGACCTGAGCAGCCAAACGTGGCGGTGGAATGAACAAGAAGTAGAATGCCCTTTTTGGCTTTTTAAAAACTGTGGACCCAAATCAGCTGAAGGAGTCCATCTGTCATGGCTGTGACAATTCAGTAAAATAAAATCACACAAATCACTTTATTCATTAACATTGGACTGGACGAATATATCGGCTTGAGCGATGTGCTCAGTCAGTCGCTGCTTGTTTTTTTGGGTGATTATTGCCATTTTATTTCATTGATAATTTACTTTATACTTATTTTATTTAGGTACATATTTAACCTGTCGAGAAATGGCAGCTTAAGTGAACGTCACATCCACGAGCACAGATGGGCAGTGTGGGTCCAGGAGTCCCAT